CACACACACACACACACACACACACACACACACACACACACACCAACTTTCTCTCTTTAGTATTTATGATTTTACATTCATTCATTTGGCTGGTCACACGTGGCCAAGGAAACTTGTCATGTTTGCATAAGCTGCTTATACATACATTTGAAATATGTGTATCAGAAAACTGCAGTTAGTTTGGCTTGCACAAACAACTTGAGCAAATATAAAAATTTATTCGATATGCCTATGTATAAAATTTGTACATATGTACATGAAATCAGAGTATGTGTAGCACATTTATAATCTAATCAGAATGCCATCTGTTTGTGCATTGCTTGTACTTACTTTTTGCACTCAGCATCTCTTTGCCTTCTCTTTTTTCAACATCCAAATGTATATTTATTTCATTTTAAATGTAAAAATTTTGAAGGATTTCATGCAACGCAAACAGACCTTAATTATTTTGCATTTTATCATAATAACTAATAACACATTTGATCTCTTGCATTAATTGGAGATTAGTGCATACCAAAAACTGCTATACTATAAATAAAATTGGCCAAGTCAAATATAAAAGCATATATTAAATGCTTGTACATACAAGCACATATACCTGTGGAAATTTATTGGAACATGTAGATGACAGAACTGCATAGTTATCGCAAGACACCATACGTTCGTGCAATTTGCATAAGCATCCTTGACAAGTTTGCTTGAATGTATAGTGTCGCCAGCCTTATTGTATTTAATAATTTTACATATATATAATTATTATCAGGTAGTTTCGTTATTGTACTTACATACGTATCTTGAATCTGATGTTCTTCAGAAATTATCGTTATTTCTCTCTTCTTATGTCACGAATCTTTCCTTGAATCGTATAATGGAAATTCCAATATATACTTTTATTTTGTCAATAAATCTCCTATATCGTTAAAGATACCAAAACAAAACTTTTCAAATTGGCATTTTGTTGATAACCGTTTTGTTATCGTCGACGACGTCAGACATTCCAGATAAGTGTCAAATTAAAGAGCAAGGCGAAGGATTGGATTGAGACTTGTAGCTGTATGTACATACATACATACGTACATGTTAGTATATGTACACTCTTTATTCATATTTTAAGAGAAGTATATATTTAAAATTTGGCGAAAGCAGTATGCTTTAGTGCAATGAAATAATAAAAACACATTTGACATTAAGTAAAGCTGACGATTGCTGAAGATATCACGATGCGTCACGACACAACGCACCACACGATACAGATAGAAGCATGGTGGAAGGGATACTATAGTGTGTGTAAGCATCTCTCTCTGAATCTCCGTCGTCTCTGTCTATTGGTTTGTTTTCTGTTCCTGCGCTAGACTGTACTAGCACCTTCTCTTACTTTCAACAAATATCGAACATACCTATCTCATTTCAAGTTCAAAAAGTGTACATTAGTTCAGCCACAGAAAACAGACCTTACGAATGTCGATAAGAGACTAAGGTTGCCAACTGTGAAACGCTAAGTATGGGGCGAATATTCATAGTCCGTTTTTATTTTAAAACTATCTCTTAAATAATGCCCTAAGATGCTAATACAGTCCAGACTGATTTATGACATCTTAAGTCTTAAATGTAAAGTTCATATAATCGTGTTACATGTCACGCACGATTCAGTCATCCGTCATGTTCTCTCTCAGGTTTCTCTCTGTGTGCTAGCTCAAAAATGATATATACTGCAGTGCATTAATTCGCTGGGTCATAGTAGCGGCACGTTATACTGTGACAGCGGCCCGACTTATCGACATTTATTTTTTACTGTCAACTTTACAGAAAAAAATTGCACGAGATAAAAATCATTTATTTTATTCTCACAGAACTTTAAGAATTTTTCAGAATTTTTTATCAACTTTTTAGTACTGCATTTTCTTATTTTCGATAAGTCGGGCCGCTACTATGACCCAGCAAATTAATGCACTGCACTGTACATGTGACGCGATCTCTTAGAACTAAATGGAAGTACATTCGCAATTGCGATTTAGCGGCGGAAGTTACACCGGTCCAAGCCCAATGCGTCAATGCGAGCCCAAGGTCTCAACGCCCTAAGTAAGGAGGCCATTACAGCTATCACAGGATCTTTGGATCCAATTTTTCATATGGTACGATGACCTTTTATATTGGGTCGGAAATCTAAGCAGAGAGTTATAGAAGAAGAAGAAGAAGAAGAAGCGAGAAGAGCGAATTAGAAAGAGGCGCTCGCAAATCAAGTACATCATGTAATCTTTTCACCATGGGATATACATAAATTTATCGCATGATACTGTGACCTTTCGTAGTGAGTCGGAAAGCCAAACAGAGAATTGAGTTATTGAGAAGAAAAAGAATAAGAAGAAAAGAAGAAGAAGAAGAAGAAGCACTCTGCATTCGAGGCACACAAAGACCACGAAGATCGCTGGTGGAATGGCTGAGTGGTGAATACCTAGTGGATGCTGTCCATTTAGTGATAGGAACCTATACAAACATTATTCTATCTTTTTTGACATTCAAAGAGGAATAAAAGGATGCTTTCCATTTGACAATATAAATTATACAAATACTTTGTTATTCTCTGAATGTCAAGAAAGATGTTTGTGTCAACTTGTATCACCAAATGGAAAGCATTCAGTGATAGTCATAGCTGGGCTTGCCAGACTTAATCCGGGTTAGTCGGACTATAGTTGGACACGTATAAACATATATGTATATCTTGTTCACTTATTACTCGAATGAGAATCAAAGCATGTAAGAATCAAATGTAATGTTGTAATGTATGCATCTATCTTTTGTAATACACACAGATACCTCTCAAGGTATTCACATCGAAATTAGCTGAAATGCAGTGGCCTTCGCTCAGCGTTATTCTTTCCGAGATATTTTTGGCATATATCGTCTACTCGATATACACGCTATCTCTGTTGTTCGTATCGCCGACTTGCGAGGATGGCAAGCCGTGCCTTGAATCGTACCTACGCGAACGACCGCAGCTGGATTTGTACATGTACAGCTCCATTAAAAGAAATCCCATCAACAAAGATGCCGATCTCGTATATTCTGCACAAAACTTTGATTATAATCAAATGCAAATCATGTGAGTATCCCCGTGAGCATCATTTAGGACGTATTCCACTTAACGTTTACAATGTTCGCGATCATCATTTCATCCTTGTTTAATATTGTTTGAAAACGATAAGGATGAAATGATGGCCGTGAGTGTTGCGAATATTAAGTGGAACCCATTCTTAATCAGACCGTTAATGTTAATTAAGGGAGAGTTCATACTGTAAACTGTCAACTTGTGCTGTAATCAGTAAGTTCAACGCAATGATTTACATAGATTTACATGTTGCCATTTGCTGTAAAATTTAAATTTGAATTAACAATATATCTTTAGGACCGTATATGTAAGGAATACAAATTTGAATAACTTTATGATTATGACATAAGTTATATGCGTACTTCATTATGAACGAAAACATTGAAATTATGTTAAATTGTAGTACAAATTAACAGTTTATGGTCAGTATAAGTGCTCCATTAGTCTCTTTTTGGGCGTTCCTATGAATATATCCTTTTTGTACGTGTTATTGATTACATTTACACAGCACGTTTAATCAGGTTTAATAACATTCATAATTATGAAATTGGCCAACCATAACTGTTCTTGATTGGCCAGTTTTATAACTGCAGATGTTATTAAATCCGATTAAGAGTGCCATGTAAATATGTCATTGTGCCTTCTTGGTTTTTTTTTTTAGAGGGAAAGAATCGATTTACATAAATCCAAGACAAGAGCATTGTCTTGTATGAAAATGAAAAATCTTTGAGGGAAACTTTTCTCCTCTTATAAATCTAATGAATGTACTTTCTTTCTTACAGTCCAGTGATACTGACTGTACCACATGAGACACGGCGGAATGGAACATTGTTTTTACATATATTTTTAGTGCCTCCCTTTATAAAACAGGAAAGGACATTTGTCGACTTGCAAAAAGTAATGTGATATTGTGTAATATTATGTAATATTGTGATATATGTACATATATAAACACTTGTTCGTTTGGACTCTCCAACATTCTATTTGTTTTATACCACTTTAATTATATCTTTATAGGATATATTTACTTCGTACACTGCGATTAAAATGACACAATATATAGTACCTGAAGCAGAGGCATTCAAGTTATTAGGTGACCACAGAGTGGAGAAAGCTAATAACCAAATTGTTATACGTCCAGTCTCACACATGAAAAGTCGTGTGACATTTACAATAATGACAGATAACGTTACACTTCCTATATATGGCATACCTGCCGAGCTCATAAACCATATAAAGTATATAAATTTTTATTCTATTTGTGTAACACAACACACGTATGTGACACAAATAACCTAATTGCTAAAAACACATTATTTTGCTTATTTATTGCAGAATAATTGGCAAACAGACATTTTTGCCGATAGTGAACTGTGATTTCTTAAGAACACGGCATCGGGATCTTCAGCGGATTACTTCACAAAATAATACGATGAATGTTGCAGTAGAATATTCACCTGTATCTCTAGGAAAGTTAAGATTAGTGCTGCACGTGCAAGCAACTATGGAGAATCTCAAGAATCTCGGCTTTTCCGACAAAGATGTCGATGAGGTAAAGGGCATCTTTGCAGATACTAATATTTACCTACTAGGTGGTACCTTCTTCATTGCAGCTGTACACGTGAGTACAGTAATAAATATTACATGCATCATGAAAATTGAAAAAACGTAAGATAAAAGAGAGCACCAATCTTTCATTTACAGTTGTTGTTTGATTTCCTTGCTATTAAAAATGACGTTAGCTTTTGGCGGAAGAAGAGTAATCTCATAGGCCTCAGCAAATGGACTGTGATATGGCGAGCATTCAGTCAAACTGTGATTTTCTTTTATCTTTGCGACGAAGGTTCTTCCTTACTTATTCTCATTCCTACTGGAATTAGCACTGTTATTGAGGTGCGTATATACATATAGGTGTACATTCATATATATATATGTGTGTGTGTGTGTGTGTGTGTGTGTGTGTGTGTGTGTGTGTGTGTGTTGTCGTAACATGATGTATGTTACGAGTATTCATGTGTAATTTATATCGTCATTATTAGTTGGTGTAATATGGAATATAGTTTTCAAATGGGTGCATTCAGTACTATGTATAACGCTCAGTGAGCAGTCATAGTATTGGATGCATCCAATATCTTAACTCTGTAGGAAATAAATGCCTTAAACGGTCTAGCTCGATCATAAGTGCTTATATAATATAATATGCTATAATTCTGTATGAATTTATATACTGCATATGTAGTCCTTTAAACTGTGAGCCGAAATAATTTTTCGATCTTGAATCGCAAACGCTTAGAACGCTCGTATGAAATGTTAGAGATCCAGGTTTGATTCTCGACCGAGGTAATATTTTTCTCAATAAGAATTAATTATTTACAGATTTTAATATGTCGTTCAGCATTATTAAGATCGTTTTAATTCATAAAGAACACCAAATTATTAAATTGTTAGTCCATTTAACTCGTGATATTACTGTGATGGTTTAGTAGAGTTTGCATTTCGACACACGTAGTTAAAAAATTATCCTACATAGTATATAAGTTCACACAGAATTATATAAGTACTTAAGATCAGCTAAATTTAAGGCATTTATTTTTTATAGATTGTATTCTCATGTGTACGTCTTTCTTATGAGATTTAATATTATTTATCTTAACTGTATTAAGTTGCATGTGCACACACACACACACACACACACGCGCGCGCGCGCACAAAAGATATGTCTAGATAAGTCGTTTGACATAGCTATTGAACTGTACAAGATATGAAGAAAGCATAGATATGCATTTTCTTTATTATTTTTTTATATAAAAATCTGATAATGGAAAAAAATTATTTCCTGAATTTTTCAGGTTATATCATAGTTAATTTTATATCTAAAAAAAACGATATTTTTATTTCAATATTATGAAAGCGCAGAAAAAGATAAATTAAATAGTTTCGTTAAACTAATCTTGAAATAATTCAAAAGTCATAGGAACAGTAACAGAAATTAACATATTTAAATTAACATATGTTAATTATCCTGTACTGTTACATATATATGTGTATACGAAATACAAAATATCTCGTATTACTAATTTTTTGATAACTGTATCTTGATACTTTTGATGAATCACTCGATGCAAAGAGAACACATAGCTTCTTGTCAAATAAGATATGTAATTGCATATTACAAACTGCATAATTTTTTTTTAAAAAGCAACTATGTATTTTTTTTGTACTAGTCTTTATTCTCTTTATTAACGTGTACAGTTATGAAGAAATTAATTATTTACGAGATATTTTATGTCAGAATATGTTTATTTTTGTACCGTTCTTGTTGACTTTTTAAATTGTTTAAAAATAATTTCGAAGAAATTATCTTTTTCTGTGCTTTTGTGGTATATTGGTACTGATATATAGTGTTCTATGTAAAAAACACACAAGATAACTTAGATATAATCTTAAAAAGATTAGAAAATGAAATTTTCTTTACATTATTAAATTTTACATATAGGAAAGAAAGTATATTTTACACTTTTTTCTCCTACTATTTAGTCAGTAGTTATTTCAAACGACATTTATCTAGAGATTCTCTGTGTGTGCGTGTGCGTGCGTGCGTATGCGTTTATGTTTGTGCGCGCGCACACACGTGTGTATATGTTAATTTATTTAATAGCTATGGAAATTGAAAAAGATATCGAGAGTGGAATTAATTAGCAGCGGTAGTATTTTCCCAAGAATACGATTTAAACCCGATAGCATTGATGCAGCAGAAGTGAAAACTAGGGAATTTGATGCTGAAAGTATGCGTTATCTGAATTACTTATTATATCCATTAGTTATCGTTGGAGCAATCTACTCGTTACTTTATCAACCACATAAAAGGTAAACGACCACTTTTATCTAAAACGATAAAAATGTATGTATGAAATATTTTATATGCCCTAGATGAGTCGTTAATTAAATTGTTTTGAGTTACAGTTGGTATTCTTGGAGCATAAATTCTTTAGTGAATGGAGTTTACGCATTTGGATTTCTTTTTATGTTGCCGCAATTATTCGTTAATTATAAGTTGAAATCCGTGGCGCATCTACCGTGGAAAGCATTCATGTACAAAGCATTTAACACATTCATCGATGACGTATTTGCTTTCATTATAACGATGCCAACAGCTCACAAAATAGCATGCTTTAGAGATGACGCCGTCTTTTTGATTTATCTATATCAAAGATGGTAAGAGTTTCCTTTCGTTCAACTCGGAATTCATACCGAGTACCACTGAACGTTCCAACTCATGTTGAATGATAGAGAGAGAGAGAGAGAGAGAGAGGAGAGGGGAGAGAGAGAGAGAGAGATAGAATAGATCGCAACAGAATGGAGAAAATGTTTTGATCATTGATTCCCGCGTATGTCCTTTTCGACCGAGCTGATCTGCCTCATAAACAATTAATTTCAATTTTTATAAATTTACGTTCAACTGCAAATATATATTTAAAACTTGTGAACAGATTCGCTAAAGACACCTCACTCAAACGGTTTTTTCTTGAACAATGAAGGAAGGTTCTTCCTTTGTACCTGATTAACATCAGGTACAAAATATGTATTTCCGTTTCCTGGGAAAACCTTTATCCTTTTCAATACTTTTACATTCCTTCCAACAATGACATTGAGAGTTTTCGTATTTTATAATCAGCTTTTATGATCAGGTAAAAGAAATGAAAAGGCAAAAGGGACGGTTTTCCGAAATGTGGAATGCTATTGTCAATTTTTCATTGTTGGAAGGGATTTTGTAAGTATTGGAAGGGGGTATAAAAGTTTTTCCAGAATTTGTTACTGTTCTTCGGTTACTTTGCCTAGCATTGCCACTTGGATTGGAACGTTCATTGCGACTATCACGTGTGTATCGATCATTGTTTTAGAATATAAAAATAAAACGTTTATCCACAGGTTATATCCAGTGGATAAATCACGTGTGGATACTGATACAATTACAGAAGAACATGTTGATTTCAGCAACAACGTGCATAAAAAAACAAATTAATAATTTCTATTGTTTACTGTTATTGCTTGTCTTCATTATCTAGAACTTAAAACTTTCGTAATATCATGTTGAAGTGTTACATGCTGACAAACAGTATTTATATCAATAATGTAAAAATTTAATCAATATACGCACACAATTGTTATAAAAAAGTATATTTTATAAATTTCTTTTATTATCACCTAAAGTGCATTATTACAATTTGTCAATTTTTGTCTTTCTTTTATAAATGATTCCTGACGAATCTATCGGATCTTGCAAACAATATATAATCAATGTGATGATATTAACTATAATGTTCTCGGCGCGATGCGTTCAATGACCAACGTGACAAAGGACTCGTAGAAGAAAATTGCATAACAACATTGAACACATCAGGAAAAAGAACAGCACATTCCTTCTTCGGACACTCATTTAGCAGTATCATCAGATTACTTCTACTCAGGTATGATTATATTTGTTACGTGAGAAAATACTGTGACTGTGTTGCCCGATAACGGGGAACCTTGAATTATTTGAATCGATTCTAACGTGATAACACGTCAGTCGTTCGATACCTACTGATATATAATAGGAGAGAAACAGACCGAGAAGTCTACTTTGGTATTCACATGCATGTACGTACGCGCGCGCGTCCATACGTGTGCGTTCTGCGCGCATGCATGCACGTGCGTGCGTGCGTGCGTGCGTGCACGTGTGTACGTGTGTGTGGGCGTGTGCGCTCGCGCGCGTTTGTGTGTGTAAATATACTTATGAATATGTGTATATATTTTTTACAGCGTAAGCGGAAATTATTGCAAACTGCAATATCTGTGCCACGTTATAAGATAAATAACAATACGCATTATGTACGTAGTGCTGATTAGTTTTTTTATGTGGATTTGTATCCTCCAGTTAATTTTCCAGTCATGGTTAATTGTCCTATCATTGTTAAACCAAGTCTTACATTCCCGGAGTTTAGGTAAGACGATCCAACAAATAAGTTACATAACTCTATTTTTCTTTATGTGTCAAGTCAGGATAATACTAAGCTATGACTTTATTATTTTTGAGATAATGCAGCAACAATCGATTAAAGTTTGCTTTAAAATATTTTTGTAGCTATGTTTGTCCACAAGTGCACTTTTGTGTACATCAGGATGAAGGACGGAACAAGAAAATGTAAACTGAACGATGTAACATTAAATATAAAAAAGATCTTGGAACCATGCTCGGATAATTCAAAAATTATTATATTTTTGTAGATATAATGTTGCCCCTAAAGCGTTGCTGGGCTTTTGCGTACATCTGGATGAAGAAGGGAATAAGAAAAAGTAAACTCAAGAACGACGTAAAATTAATTATAAAGAACATCTTGGAACCGTGCTCGGATAATTCAAAAATTATTATGAACGAGAATGTAAGTAGTATGTAATATTCGCGGTAGATTAATTGTATGCAAAATTAATTTCTTAACTCATTTGTATGACATAGAGTTGCGACAGTGTATTTTTCTATGGTGCTGATCAAAAAGGTAATTCGTTATTTGTCAAAATGACTCACAGAGTATATCACAAAACAGAATTGATCTTGCAAGTGACCTTGTCGGATGGCCGAGTCTACGTGTTGCCCGGTAAAAATCATTTGATACAAAAATATCATATAACTGGTAAATATAACATTCTAATGATACACTCGTTTTAAATACACAGATTGTCCTGATACAATCATTGCAGTAGGAGATATAAATCAAAAATGGTCAGCATCTGGTCTAAAGATTGAATCCTTAGAACCACGACAACGTTGGAGAATTACATACAATGGTTTCCTCCGAAACCAATGCCGAGGAAATACATCCAATAATGACAACGTGGAACATATTCGTCTAAATTTTATGTGAGTGTAGGATAAATAAATTTGTTAGATACTAAAAAATATTAAGAAGCGTAATCGAACATCTTATTTTACAAATACGTTTTTCAGATTTATTAGCAAACCCCGATCGTTAGAATGGCCAGATGACTGGAGTATTCATTTGCACGCGGATGCTTTAGTACGTGAACCGTGGAAACATTCTGATTGGATGCACAAAATGTAAAACTTAACAACATTAATATATTTGATGTTCATGTTTTCTCTTATTTCAGTGTAACATAGGTTTCAGCTTCCTTTTCTGTTGATAGGCAATTAATAGATGACACCGGTTTCGATCTATGGGGATCCATTAGCGGACAGATAACGTTTAAAAATTCAAATATAAGTGAATTTTATTTACGAGGACTTTGCCAGCGACGTTGGGGCAAACATGAATCTTGTCAATTTCATAAAACTATCACAATTGTTGGTGTGACACAATATGGAGCTATGTATTATCTTGGTGTGAGCAATACCAAACATAGCTTTTCACAGTAAGACAAATAAATACATATTACAACATTATGATAAAATAGTGTGATATAAAATTTCCTATATGAAGAAATCAGTCAACTAATTTTACATATCCTTATTTTATTCTATTGTATTATCATTGTTTTCGTCTCCTTGTTGAAATATTACGATTATATCACATAGAAAATTTTATACAAGCAATGATTAATATTTTTTAATTATATATACTAACTTTAAAACAATGGAAAATATGTTAATCATTTGCGAAATTAATTGCAGCATGCAGTTTGGACACCTCCAGGAAGCCGGAGGGATGATAATCAATATTGATAGGACCGATCTGGAATTAAGCGACTTTGAGAAAGAAGATGCATTTCCCACAAACTACAAGATTGCATTTAAAGGTTTTTATTTTGATGTATCATTGTTGATACAAACATCACACATTGCATCATGCAAGATGTAGATATTGCGGCATGACTCTGTGTTAACATTACGTGCCATTATTTTTCATTTTTCAGCAGCTGGAAAACTATATAGCTCCGTAATCAACAACTTGGTGGGCAACGCGATAACTTATTACAATGACCAGCCATGGGCTTGTACAATTCAGAATTTGCGTGTACAATTAAACGGCAATACAGGTATATCTATAATAATTCATAGCAGAAGAAAAAAATTGAAAGTCCTTTTATCTACAAATATAATATTATAGTAATATAGTATTATATTGAGAATCTATTTTTAAAATGCACTAGGTGTTGGACTGATGATTACGTGCTGCCCATACACTGGACCGAGTCAAATACAAACTTCGATCGCGAAAATTCAACGTATAACACGGCCCGACACATTTGCGCAAAAAAATAAATACATTCTACGTTTTGATGATACACAATGCCAAAATGAAAGTGTCGTAGGAGGGAAAGGATATTCTCTTGCAATTTTGACATCTATCGATACCGATGATGTGTGTACTTGGGATAATTGTTGCTCATCAAAAAATTTTTTATTTGTAAAATTAATTTTTCTGTCTGTAGTTTGCAGTACCTTCAGGCTTTTGCGTAACGAGTTTTGCTTTGGAACGACAATTGCAACATCATAAACAATTGCAAAACTTAATCAATGATATAGTAGATAGTTGTTGCAAAAAAAAAGAGGACCTCGAAAGTTGCTGTCAAAAGTACGTCTAACATTTCGCGTAAAATGTATGCGAGACTGCAACTAAGTCTGTTTTCTGTTTTTTTCAGGGCGGTAATCATTATTCAGAGTACTCCTGTTGAAAAAGAAATTGCAAAAATGATATTACAGGGTTTGGAGGAATTAGAATCATTTGTAAATGAAAAAGGTATTTGGCGTTATGCTGTAAGATCCAGCGCAATTGGAGAAGATAGCGAAGAGACTTCAGCTGCTGGTCAAAACTCGACATATTTAGGTGTGAAGAATGCGAGTGACATTATTAAATGCGTTGCCAAGTGCTGGGCAAGCCTGTTCTCGTATCAAAGCGTCGAGTACAGGTAATTTATTCTTCTCTATAATGTTGCCTCGTTAACATTGCCTTGAATTTTTACATGATGTTTCTTTCAATTTAGGCGACAAAACGGATTACCGATAAGAGCTTCTATGGGCGTTTGCGTTCAAAGAATGGTCGACGCGGAAGCGGCTGGTGTCATGTTTACTAGACATCCGACAACTGGAGATCCGTCTAGCATTGTTATTACAGCCAATTATGGCTTAGGAGAGGTTATACTCAATTAATATTAGAAATACTGTTACAAAAAATATGTATTTGAACGTGTGATACCCACTTATATAAAATTGATTGATATTTATTATTAATTATATTTCAGATTAATATTTGTGATAATTATTGCACCAATTCGTGATACTTGTTACATAATACAAATAATATAAATCGCCCTAATGTGATTTTTTTTTATAGACGGTAGTGTCAGGGAAGGTCGAGCCTGATACCTTTATGATTCATAGAAAGTGGGATAACACTCTAACTATAGATTCCTCAGTGTTAGGAAATAAGAAGCATAAGATCTTACTTGATGACGATAATGGCGTAATTACGAGCGCTCTAAGTGAACAGGAGATTAAAAAGATCTCGATATCCAATACATCCGCTCTGCGATTAGCTAAAATAGGATTGCACTTGGAATCACTTTTTGGGTCAGCTCGAGATGTGGAATGGGCGATTGTCGACGAGCAGATTTATATGTTACAAGCACGGCCTATCACAACCATTAATGCATGGACAGATTTCGAGATAATGCACGAGTTAGACTCAGGCGTACCTTGCGACGTCGATCTTATGACCTTCGCCAATATCGGGGAAGTGCTTCCACATCCCATAAGTCCTCTGTCAATCTCCACGGTTATAAAAGTTTTGAATCTATCGCTTTGCGCAAAATTCAACAAGTTTGACTGTTGTTATCTTCATATGGTCGGTATGAGATGCGCAATGAATTACTTGGATGTAAGTACTTGGATTTTTGCATCTGTCGTGTTTACATCTCATAGAAAATTACTCTAATATAATATAATTAATTCAATCTCTCTGAAATAATCTCTAATTAATAAATTATCTCTCCTTCTGCCTTTTCTTTTAGTCAACTTTACAAGATGTTAATAAGGAATTGACAATGACGAACAAAATAATAGATTTAGCCATATGCGGACGTGAAGTTACGACACCTGAAGTACACATAGCAGCAATAAAGAAATACGGTATTGCAAGCATATGGCGGAATTTTTATACACTACTCGAGACAATCATAACAGCTTACAGAAATAATGCGTCAGTGAAAAAAACGATCAACATATTTAACAACTACACTCTGGACGCTAACGAATTTGATACACCTCATGATTTATACAATACCTTAAACGAGAAATATGAGGAAATCTATCTGGTAAGTTATAGCACAATGAATAAATATTCAAATGAACATCTTTATTTATTAAATTCAACCTTAAAACGTCACTTTTAAACAATTACGTCCTAATTAATGCCCGCCATTAAAACACTTTCAGATGGGAAAGGGTCATAATCTGGCGTCCCTAGTGAGCGTATTTTACCAGACGATCGCGATGTCAATTTTAACAAACGGAAGTGATAACTTTACGTCCGATCATCTTGCGGACATTGCTCTTGTGCTGAGTTCGTGCACTAATGTTATCAGTACCGAAGTGCCGATAGCCCTCGACAAAATAGCGGCATGCATAAGAAGGAGCGGCAAAGCGGATGAATTTAGTAAGCTCGAGACCGCGAAAGTTATGACCTGGTTAGAGTTGAATTGCCCACCGGCTGCGGAAAAATTACAACTTTTTTTCAAAATGCATGGTCACAGAGGTGTTCAGGAAATGGATCTCTTCACAGAACCTTGGGTGCTTAAACCTGATAATATCATCAATACGATTCAGGTACGATAATTCAAATTATTTATAAAAAGAGTGAAAGTTGAAAACATTTTGAATGAAGTAGTGACAACGTATGTTCATACACGTATATCCCTTAATACACATCTTTGGATCATTCTTGTCCTGCATATTTCTTTTCTTTGAAGTATCAAGAGCACCTGGTCAAATACCGGTGTCTTTTCTATTCCTAAGAAAAGTTTGGCATCTAAAGAGTAAGTTCTTTGTGTGTTGCCGGCCTCAATTCGTGCGTCCTTTAACTGGCATAACTCCGAAGTTCACCTCTAGGTCACAAATGACTCAACGTGTGCACATTTTTTGTAATTAAAAAATTTTAATTTTTTTTTATTTTCAACTAATTCTCGGTTGTATTGTAGGAATATTTCGAATTATAAAAAAAAAATTAACTCTAAAACAACATATTAATATTATTAGTCCTTAATAAACACGATTTTTGGTACCCTTGTGCTAAATGTTGTCAGTAATATTTATATATTATGTTGCCTATAATGTTACGAAAAAGAACATTTTCCTAATAAATTATAAGTTTTTTAACACAATAATAATAATAAAATGTGTTTAAAATGTAAATATATTTTCAATTTATAGCCATTCATCATGAATATATAACCACACACACAAATACTTTCTAAAGATGTCAAAATATATGCAAAAATCGTTTAATAATTTTTATATATTTGTAAAAGTGATGAAAATTAATCCAGAACACGAATGATCGAATGTGTGTAGTAAGGATGCTCAAAACTAAGGTGCGTGCGTGTGCGCGCGCGAGTGTATGTGTATACGTATGTATATATGTTCTCATTATTCTGCTATTAGGTACTAGCAATGTCCATTGAAGAGAATTACGTGAGTAGAACGCTTAGCGTGGAAGAAACCATAACATCTTTGAAGACACCCATATCATTGTTTACCAAGTACGTTCTGCGGGTGATAATACCCTGGTGTCGAAAAGCTGTCACGCTCAGAGAAATGACAAAAAACGTATGTGTATCTGCTGTGCATATATTGAGATTAGCTTATAGACGACTTGGTGTTTTGATGGTTAAAGAAAGTTACATACCCGATGAACAGCTCATATTTTTCCTGACGCATCAAGAGATCGGGCAACTGTTGAATAAGCATAATCAATTACTCTTACGCAAGTGAGTTGATTTTACACTATTTTTTTTATTACATATTATTCAGTGCATCATTCTTTATCCTCTGTGTATATATTATCATAATTTGCCATGTCTATCTTTCAGAGCGCTACGTAGAAGAAAGATTTATCAGAAAGTAGCAAAATTTGAATATCCGGAATTCAGTACTGGCATGCCCGTGCCAATAGAGGTTTGTCGTAAATGTTAGAGAGCCAAGTCGAGTCAAGCCGAATTACTTGTTATGTTCCAAAATTTACTGTCAGTGCTGAAAATGTATAGTACATGTGACATAGACTGTAGATTTTCAGTGCTGGTAGTGAATTTTGGAATACAGCCTATTATTACAATATCTAGAAAAATCATTTATATATTTTTATATTTTTTAATATATGTATTTCTATCGTATCCCTAAGATTTATATTGCATATATACTTTTTGTCACAGCCGACCTTCGATACTTCGTCCTACGAAGGATGTACAAAGATTGAGGGTACTTCAGTTTGCGGCGATTCTGTATTAGGCAGAGCGTGTGTGATAACCGATCTATCCGAAGCAAAAATTATACAGCATGGAGATATTTTGATTACATACTGCACCGATATCGGTTGGAGTCCATATTTTCCGTTATTAGCTGGAATCGTAACAGAATTGGGTGGTTTAATAAGTCATGGCGCCGTTGTGGCAAGAGAGTACGGTCTTCCTTGCATCGTTGGTGCAAAAGGCGCAACCCAAGTTTTTAAAACGGGTAAAGTTTCTTATGTCACGCTGTATAAAAACGATCTATAACATTGAGATTTTCTTTTTATTAACTTCTTTTTGTTAATTGTTTTTATGTACGTTCTTTTATTTCAAGTGACAATTTTTATGTGCGTTCTTCTATTTCAGGTGACACTGCATTATTATCGGGAGACGGAACGTTACAACTGATTAAAAAAGCCTAATTATTCTAATTTGATTTTATGTGGATTTATATGGATATCATTCGATCATGTGTGAGAAATATTTTTTGAAACTGATCAATTTTCACAAAAAATATAAAAATCAGAAAATAAAACTGATTACATAGAATTAAAGTCTATTTATTTTACAATTGCCGCATTACAATCAAATAAAAGTCGTAAGAATTCGCGAATTCCATTGTATAATGTACCATATCTAATATGTGCAACATAAATACAATAATAGAACTTTTAATAATTTAATATTAATAAATATAATGTTGTCCCGTAATCACATTACGTACTTTGGTCGTTATAAATTACACAGTGGTAACGCGTTCAGGATCCGCCGTTAAATAACGAATATTTTCCGTTACCTCACTGGTAAGACACGACAATTGCAGTCGCATACACGTTGCGACTTTTGACAAAAGGGCTTCTACTCTCATGTGATCTTCCTTATTTACTGGCTGAGGTATCGCGTCCAGAGCTTCCTCGAAAAAGCTTCTGCTTAATAAAAGAGAAAAAAAGAAAGATCGACTTAGAAATGCTAATAGGTTTTAACATACAATTTTCAAGGTGATACTCTATTTTCGATATCTAATTTTTACCTCGCTCTACTTGTGCTGTAGGCTTGCAGAGCGTTTCTCAAGAGTATAATATCTGTTCGAGCTTGAATAATGCCAGCCGGACGAAATTGCGTAACGCATGACATGAGTCGCGCGAGTTCCTCTGCTATAGTCTCTATTATATGAGATAGGATCCGCTGTAATAGAGCTGGTGCAACTCTGCGTACCTGCGGGAAGATGATATTAGAGATATAATAAAACGATTAAATGTTATCCTCCGAGAGAGTTTGCCGCACCACCAACATCTATTACCTCTGCATGTACCGCGATTAGATTCGCCAATATTTCTTGGGCATATGGTTTCAAATGAGTCGGTTCCGTATCAAAGTCCCATTCTAAACCGCCTAAATACATACTAGGCTCTATCGTACCGACAAGTGGATCGCAACGGCGCTCTAGATATGCATCCAGAACAGCACTGTCCAGCGTCTCCAATTGTGTCCAATCAGAGTTCCATCCGATAGCGATGGATAATTCTGGATAGCCTTGCGCTTTCAGGGCATCTCCGATTCTTGGTAAAACGATATTTAACGTGTATCGTATATTACTTAATGAGATTAAGAGACATTGCTCCCACGTCTGATAAGAAATTTACAGATATTTTAAGTATTGGGTATGTGAAAGCAAAAGGATTGTTATGCTGTAAGCGCTAAATCGAATTTATTGCTTACTGGTCCTTGATGCTTATTGGTTTTGTTTTTATAACCAGAAGGTGATCCAATCAATTGCGAAACCGATGTTTCATCATTATCCATAGCTTCCTCGCAGCCGCTAAACGCTAATTGTTGTAGGCACCGCGCGAATGATATGAATAATGTCTTAATGACATTGTGATAGATAATCTGATG